CTGAAATGTAGACATCAGATTTTTGTTATTCAGAATGACCTATTAGAAAATCTTTACCTAATATTATCACATTTCTGTAACAGTTACAAATGAAAATTTCTTCCCCATCGTTCAAAAAAGTATGTTTAGCTTCCTCATCCACACTGAACCTTTATTTAAAAAGAAACAAGTTACTACTAATTATAAAAGTCTGTGTATTTCAGTCATCCAAAACCTTACCAGCAAATTGATATTAACAATGGAGTACTGCCATTTAGAACTTTCAATTTAATTCAGTTTATTTTCTAGTTTTAAAAATATTTAATTTAAAAATCTTTTGAAATTAATGCTATTCTGGTTCTAAGAGAAATATGGCATCCAATTTTGGCTACTTCCTGGGAGCTATATAGGTCAACAAAGAACCAAACAAATGAACAAATAAAAAAAGATCCAAAAGTCATGCATCTTCAGCAAAACATGGAAAAAAAAAACAAATTAAAAGACATGGAAACTCAAAACTATATTTAAGTGTAGTCAAAATAAGTCAGATCAACAAAAACTGGTTCACTGGGTAGTCGCAAACAGTGCATGCAAGAATCAGACTGTGGAAGAGCCTAACATTGGCAGATCTCAAAATCCAACAGTGAACATTCATTTTCATAAAGAGATAGTCTCATCCTGAATTTTAGTGTTGCTCTCAGCAACACTGAGCCTTCAGAAGGAGTGATAAACAGGAGACAGTTTATCTGGAAACAATTTCTCCATTTCAAATTATAAATGCATATATTTTTGAGTCAGAAATCCCTCTTTAATGAATTTAGCCTTATGTGTGTGTGTGTGTGTGTGCGTGCGTGTGTGTGTCTATACACATATATATGTGTAGCAATATAGTGTGTCCAACGTTATTCACTGCAATGTTATTCATAATGGGAAACAATTGGATATGATTTGTATGGCATACCCACACATTGAAATACTATACAATTATAAAGGAAGTATGAGGAGAATTCACTTCCAACCATGCTACAGTATTTTATCAAACTAATTTTTCTGAGATCAACCATAAAGCTTAGTTGAAAAAACAAACTAAAGAAATCAAAAAGCAGGTGCAGCAGCTATGTATCAAGAGGTCAATACCCTAGAGAAAGAGGGAAGTACAATGAGGACAGGTCTATCTTCACTTCTGCTTTGTACCTTATGGGGGCTTTGACAAGTCACATCATAAAGAATAAGAATAATGATATATGACTACATACCCACTAGAAGTTAAAATTAACAAACCTGTCAATAGCAAGCATTAGTAAGAATTTGGGAATCCTGTTCTCTGTTGTTGGAGTGCAAATTGTTACAAATAGGTAGAAAATTGTTAAGAATTATCCAGTAAAGACAAACATTTGCATACTCTATCAGCCAATAATTCACCTCTGAGATATAAGGCCTTCACCTTCCCATGCACACATATATACAGTATGAAAAACTAACAAGAATTTCTATAGTAGTGCTTTATAAAGAAAGAGAACTGGAGATATTGCAAATATCCACCCACAATAGAATATATAAATAAATTATTCAGTATACACAAACTTGAATACTATAAAACAATGAAAAGAATAAACTACTTCTACATGCAACAAAATGAATCAGTCTGGCCTGTGTAGTCTTAATTACACCGAATAGATATTAGACACAAAAATATGTAATTTACGATCTCATTTATAATAGGTCAAAACAGATCAATTACTTGGTAGTCGAAGTTAGAGTAGTAGTTATCCAAGGGGTACTGACTGGGTGACATGAATGAGACTTCTGGAGGGCTATTAATGTTCTATATGTTGACCTAGGTGATGGCTTCATAAATGCACCTAGCTCTCCACTTGAGAAGTGTGCATGAAATGAATGCTCTCATATCTGCTGTCTATATATGTTTATCAATAGGGAAGCTGTGTATGTACTAGAATAAAGAAATAATGTAGGATACATTGTTAAGTGAAGAAAGGAAGGTGCAGGATGATGTTTATGATATGCAATGTTTGTGTAAGACAAGTAACAAAATGAGAATACATGTTTGTTTTCATTTGAATTTGCATAGGATGGACATATAAAAATCTATAAATGTGATTCATTTTTAGAAGTAAAGGAGTGGATGTGGAACTGAGGCAACAAGGATGGGATGAGACGACACTTTCCATGTACACCTTTAATACCATTTGACTTTGGACAAGGTTAATATATTCTCAATTTTAAAATATTTTTTCACGCATGCATGTTTCAAACATAAAAATAGTTGAATTATTTATTTGCTACATTTGTTCCTCAAAATTGCTCGAATTCAGAATTGTCTTGTCTTTTCTATAAAATATTCTCTTCTTTGTAGAGAATGCACCTTCCATTTAGATCATCCCAATACTGTCCCTAATGGCATCAAATATATACAAATGCACAAACGATTTGTCATTGAGTTCTGAATGTCACAGAGAAAGAGAGATGCTTCTTCCCCAAGCAAGGACATACACTGTTTTGAGATAAAACACTTGGCATTTATTTGGGCACCGCCTTCACTAACTTACATTGCTAAAACACCTTCATATCTTCTACTGAATTCCAATTCCATAGCTGTGTCTCTATTGGGGTTCATGAGTCACCTGGTGTTCCATCTCAGATTTCCATTCCGAGTACCACTTTTTTACAGACATGTTACAAGCTTTGTGTGTTCTCATTCAGTCATTTTGCCATTGATTTATAGCAATTCCATAAAAATGACACAAGGTTGTGGATTTTTCTAAAGCAAAATTATTTTTGCCAATGGCAATATTCTCGTTTTTGTGTTTGGCTTATGTAGGTCTGACTTTCATTTGCTGCATTGGCTTATGCCATTTAGCAACACTCAGTCTTCAGTGTCGGGCATAGCTGAACTATTTAGTAACAAAACTGGAAGGGACTTTGAAAGGTGTTAACAATAATATTGCTTTACACAGTGCTTCCCCATACTTTCGTCACCAAGGATGAATGTCCTGTGCCACATGAACTTTTATTTTATTTGGAGTTAAAAAAATGAGGAACAGAGAAGGTAAGTGACCAGAGGTACTCCTAGAGTTAGAATCTCCTCTCTGGTCGGAAGGCCACTAGTCCATTGGGCTCTACCCCAGCACACTTATTCTGGAAACACATCTGGCCTGGCAACTCCGCTCAGAGGCATCAAGTATACCCCTGTTAAGTTTTTAAAGAGAGATTTGGATGTAGAAAGAAAAGTAAAATAGCACTAATGACTTGATGCAAATAGTTAGTTCCTGATAAAAGTTTACCACGGAGCGTGGATATAGGAATGGGTAATCTTGCAAGGTGCACATGGCCAGGAACTGAATATGGCTGTGTGAGAAACCAAGGATTTCCTTCTTTGCTATTACTGTTTGCTAACATGCACTTCTTACTGGAAATTGTATGACTTAAATATTAATAAACACTAATTCACTTCGTTATTTATTCTGAGCTTTCCTTTAGAGTCTAAGTGTGTTTTGATAAGCATATATTTTTATTTTAACTCACATCTTTGGATGAGTTGTGATTAATATAAAGAGAATTGTTCTTTGTTTTCTTTTTATTTGGGGTAAATATTTGGGGTCTTTCAGCGACTGTTTTTGCAGATATGGTAAAATAAAGCTATTTAGTTTTATATGCAAGAGAAAACATCTACAAGAACGTCTAAATGTTTTATGGGCATACATGATTAACAAGGGGAAAAGGTACAGGGTAGCAGTAGTAAAAGCCTGAAAGAAGTAGAGAAATGTCGTCAGGTGTCTGGAAAGCTTTCTGTCATCAGCTTTCTGGAAGGCTGTGCTGAGTCTCCATGCTGTAATGAATTTGCAAATCACAGAGATAAGCTTATAATGATGGAGACATTATATGGATTCACACAGAGTAGAGAATACACAGTGGATTAGAAAATAGAACCCTTCAGTTTTTGGTTTAGTTTTGCTACTAACTAGCAATGTGATCCTGGAATGTCACCTAACCTCTCTGAAATTCCTTTTCTATATCTCTAAGGCAGGTGAATGTGAATCACTCTTGAGGTCCTTTACAGCTCTCATGTTGGAAAAAGCAAGTCTTTCCACATGGGGTTACATATCTGACACTGATTATAATTCAAAAAATGGATTTTGAGATGCTGGATAAATCAGCCAAGTTTTGTAATAACACACTGAGGATATAGTTAAAAGCATTTAGGAACCGGCAGACCAATGTTCTAGGCCAAGCTTTGAAGCAGTCAGTGACTTTGAGCAAATTTATGCATTTCTCTAGGGATTAGGTTTATTTTTCTCTATGTGCCAGTTGAACTAGATGGTCCCTGAGTTTTCTATCAGTAATAACATTCATTATTCTCTTTGCTTTTTTCCAGTATAATAACTCAAGGAAACACAGTTTTAATTTCCAAAAATTTCTAAGAGGAGTTTTTACGGGGATATACCAGAATGAATCAATATATTGGTGCTTTTCATTGGAATTATTCTGAAAAAGACTTGCCCCTTTTGAATGATGATTTATCATATTTTATGAAAACTAAACATAAATAAAAACCTTACATAGTTATAAATTTTCTTTTAATTTTTTTAATGTTTATTTATGTATTTTGAGAGAGAGATAGAGCATGAGCAGGAGAAGGGGCAAAGAGAGAGAGAGAATCTCAGGTAGGCTCCACACAGTCAGTGCAGAGCCTGATGTGGGGCTCAAGCTCACAAACTGTAAGATCATGACCTGAGCTGAAATCAAGAGTCAGATACTTAACCTAATGAGCTACCCAGGTACCCCATAATTATCAATTTTCTACAGATCTTCATCTATTAAGAGAAGTGAAGTGTGGGAGAGAGTGTGTATCTCATACCATTTGGACAAAATGGAGAACTAAAACAATTATTAAATGCTTACGTATTTATGACCAATATGACATGAATTGTGAGTTCCCTATTAAATACAAAAACTTTTAATCCAACCATTTATCTTTTCCTTTTAAAATGTAAAGCACAAACTTGAAGGACTAGAAACACTTTATTTGATGGAACCATACAAACAGATGAGAGTTTAGTTAGTATTTTTGAAGTGCTATCATCATTGTAACTTTCAGCAGATAAACTTTAATTATTATTAACGTTGTTTACATCTTAACTGGTTTGTTTAAACTCCAATTACAATAAATTGGCATATTTTACTTTTTATTAAATAGTTTTTATAATGACAATGAAAGATGCAATGATGCAATGTAGAAAAGCACTCGGAGGAAAAATTAGCGCTACATCCAAAGTATTATTTCAGAAATTTATTTTGACATCATATTCATATTAAGATATGTTGTCAGTGTCCACAATACATCTGTGAGGTATCAGGTTGTTTGTCTTGAAATCCCTATTTCACACATAGGAAAACAAGCACAGTATATTTAGCAAATTTTCCAAGGGCACACATTGTGTCAAGATAGCACTGGGAACAGAATTTATTTCTGGTATTTTTCTTACATAGTCCAGTGCCTAACATAGTGTCCTAGAAAGAGTAAGTACTTAATACATAGCCATTGAATGAAAGAATGGATAAATCATTCTATGAAATCTAAACAACGGTCATATTTGCTCTCTATTCCCTTCTTCATTAAATTGAAGAAGCCGTAGGAGCAGTTGAGCAATAAACTTTACCAACTGTCCCCTCCACAAGTTTCCATTGCTACATGAAGAAGCTTTGCAAGATGATACCATCTGGTCAGTCCTGAAGTTATACACTCTAGGTCCCCCCGAAAGAGTGTCATTAATCTTGGTTCATTGTAATGTTGGCTTTTGTGGTGTGAGTTAGATCTACCAGCAGGTGCCTGAGACCAACTCTTTTCACCGAAGTCACTGAAAATCCATTATTAATACTGAACGTGTTACTGATGCCCTAGCCTAATATTTTAGTAAATCAGAGTTCTAAATTAGACTTAAAGAACTTGATAGTTGTTGAAAATAAGTCACTTGGCTAGTATTGGCTCTGGCTACCTCAGCAGAGGGTAGTTATAATGCCAGAAAGGATAACTTAATTTATTTCCTGAGTTCATTTGTCGTAAGTTGAGTTGCAACTGTAAACACGATTAAGGTCACAGTGGCATGACTTTTAAAGTTGATAGAAAAATGTGGTAAAGAACATAAGTGTTCATATCACCAGAAGACAAAAAGATGACAAAGCCATAATAGTCATTCCCAGTGATCATCAAGTAAGTTAAAAATTGTCATTTGTTCTATTGGTGCTGATAACCACTTAACGAAAAAACAAGTAAGACATCTCATGAAGCACTTATGGTTAAAATATAGTTCTTCAATTTTGATGACATTCATTTATATACATACATATTTTTTTTTTTTTGAGAAAGAAAACCCATTTAACTGTACAGAATGATCCTATTTAAGTGAAAGGAAATGCCTTTGCATTTGTCACCAAAATTTAGTCATTGAACTAAAATTTCATCCAGGTGACATTTTCATTAGGACATAGTCTGGAGAAATCTGAAAATACTACATCTCATTTGCCTTTATGTCAAACAAATGATTCACCAGACCTGCCTAATTGGATGGTATATTTCCACTGGAGTGAATGTCCTAATTATAATTTAAGACAAATCTGAGAGAGAAGGTTTATCAGACATTTCTACCTCATTTTATCATGTCCAAAGTTCAGAGATATTTTGAATTCTGTGTAAAAGAGCATCACAAGGAACTTACAGCACTCTTTGGTGCAACTATTACCCATTCTTAAAGCATTGCCACAACGAAAATAGAAAGAGACATAAGTAAAACTAAACTATTAAACATCAACTTAGTGGGCAAATTGCGTTTAGAGATCCACATCATAAAGAGTAGCTTTTGTGTAGGCTCCTGTACTCCTTAAACTGAAAGCATAGTCTCTGTTTTCATGTAAGAATATATCTAACTGAAATCAGGAATTCCATTTTGTAATTGTGTCAGTTATATTTAAAAGATCGTTATTAAGGAAACTTTAATTTGTAAGCAACTCTACAGTGAATAGAAATAGGAAAATATAAGCATCCACATTTAGCAACAAACACAAATAACAGATTCTTGAGCGCCATATCTTTCAACATGTTTGCTTATCATTCAATCCTTTTGCCCACCCTTTCTCTGTAGGTCAGGCAGGAGAGTAAAACATTTTCAGAGAAACTCCCCAGATTCATGATTTTAACTGCCTACGCCACTGCAGACAAACAATAGGTCCTATCGTCGAAGTCTCAAAGCACTTGTAAGGGCCATGCATGTGTATCTATTGTCCTTGTTGCTTTTGTCCTGGAGAACTTCGTTGGCCAGAGCTCTCTCCGGGATGATGCGCAGGAGTGACAGGAAACTGAAATCCATAGCCATTGTATCCATCCAAGTAGACACATTGGAAGAAACTGATGGGGCCTATGGAAGAGAGCATGGTAATTTGTTAAAACAAGCAGACATGAGCAGGAACAAAGGTAAATCACAGCCAGATAATACAATGTATGTGGACGTGGGTTCTTCAGCTAGATAGCCTTGACAGTAACTATCAAGTTAATAAACCTCATTGTGTCTTAGATTCCTCACATGTAAAATCAAGACGATAGCAAAAACCTCATAGAAATGTTGTGGAAATTAAATGAGTAAATATATGTGAAGCACTTGAAATCTTTCCTGACACATAATAATCCCTTAACAAATGATAATAAAAAGTATCTGGCATAGAAAGTCAAAGTACTTACATCATAGGAATCTATTGATGTGCACTGTACTCCGAAAAACTGTTATATAGTTACAGATTTTAAAACATGAGCTTATCTATATGAAAAATAACTGACTTTTCTTGTTTCTTTTAATGTTTTTATAAAACCACAGAGAGGCTTGTGGTCTTAGAGTCTTGAGGCTTTCCACTTGCCCTTACTCTCCTGAGATGGCATAGTTACTGTTTTTTAAATTTTGTTTAACATTTATGTTTATTTTAGAGAGAGAGAGACATTGCATGAGTGGGGTAGGGGGAGAGAGAGAGAGGGAGACACACAAGGTCCAGGCTCTGAACTGTCAGCACAGAGCCCTAAGCAGGGCTGGAACTCACCAACCGCGAGATCATGACCTGAGCCCGGATGCTTCACCGACTGAGCCACCCAGGCACCCGGGGAATACTTTTTACGACAATGCGTCCAGGTAGCCTCTCTGTTGTCAGATCAGAGAGCAACACAGAAAATGTGTTAAAGCCAAGCAAGGCAGTGCAGCGTGGTGGGTAAGGGCATGAGCTCCCAATGCTCCCAGGTAGCAGCTTTGTTAAGAGATGGTGACTCTAACTTCTCCAAACAATCATGGGCACCTACTGACTCTTCAGTGCTTTCTATTTTATCTATTTGCCTTCTGTTAATGAACCACAGAGTTTTTGCCAATGGCCAAGAAAGAGAATGACGGTTGAAGTGACTGCTATGTGGAATATGGTGAAGCTGGCCAAATTCGTATCAGCCTAAGGGCTTATGAAATAGAATGAGGCAAAGCAGGGGTATTAAGCAGCTAAAGGAAGCAATAAGGAATTATTCTGATTTCATCTCCCTGGGTGTCAGCTGACTTGAATCACTGGTTTTCAGTGATGAAAGTAGTTTGGAGAAATCTTGACTTTGTTCTTTCTTTTCCCCTTCATCTTATCCAGAATTATTTTCTTTTCTGTTGTAGCTTTAAAGAGAGGCAGTAACACAATCTGCCCCCACTCCCAAGGTTGTAAGTGCTTGGGGCTTTGACGGGCCATTGCCAGGGATGGCAATAAAGCTAGACTGCACTGGGACAACTGGGTGGCTCAGTTTGTTGAGTGACTGACTTCGGCTCCTGTCATGATCTCACTGTTTGTTCGGTTGGGCTCTCTGCTCTCAGTGCCAATCCTGCTTCAGATCCTCTGCCCCCCTCTCTCTCTGCACCTCCTCTGCTCTCTCTCAAAAATAAATAAATATTAGAAAAATAGCTGGACTGCATTAAGATGAATGGCAGCATCAGTGCTGAAAGTAGAAGAGTCCAGCAGGGACAGGTTACCTTCCAGCTGAACTGTACTAGACATGGGCACATTTCTGAGCATCTACTTAATTGATGCTGATAGGCTGTTAATGGAAATATCATTACATCTGCAAATGTTAAGGCTTATATAAAAGGCTCAGGAATATCAGGCTGTAGAACTATTTTATAGTAAGATGGAAATAGGAAGTATTGTTTTTCTACAGAAAATGCCCCAATCAAACTTAAAATATTTGATGAGGTTTTTTTTGCTAAAAATATTGAATTGATTCATTTGTTCATTTTAATTTTTTTAATATTTTTAAATGTTTTTATTTATTTTTGAGACAGGGAGAGACAGAGTGTGAATAGCAGAAGGGCAGAGAGAGAGACCCACACAGAATCCAAAGCAGGCTCCAGGCTCTGAGCTGTCAGCACAGAGCCTGATGCCGGGCTTGAACTCACAGACTGTGAGATCATGACCTGAGCTGAAGCTGGAAGCTTAGCCAACTGAGCCACCCAGGTGCCCCTCATTTGTTTTTAATTAAACCTTTTATTTTGAGATTATTATAGAGTTGCTTGCAGTTGTCAGAAATAATACAGAGCTATTCCCATATACCATTCACCCAGTTTCCCCACTATGGTGACATCTTTACAAAACTATAGTACAATATTCCAAACAGGAAATTGACCTTGATACAATCCACGTATTCTTTTGAATTATATTTTAATATTTATTTGTAAAATAAAGACTTCAACTGTTTATGTGACATAGCCACAAATTTTTACCAGTAGGTTAATAATTGGGAAACTCCTGTTTAAACCAGAAACATGCCCAGATTGACTTTATAGATTTTTGAAATAATAGTGAAAAGTACTGTTTTTCTCAAAACCTGATTATATGAAGGGCTATAATGACTCCCTCTCTTATTTGCTGCAATCGCCTCAACATCTGAAGCAGAGCTTGGAATGTAGTAGGCACTTAATATTTGCTCAGTGAATCAAGTATTAATATGGAGTAGGAGTCATTTGCTGTTGTAGTGGGCATTTTAGTAACTTCCTGCAGAAACACCTTAAAGAAGCAGTTAGAATCCAGAGAACATTATTGATTTCATTTCTTCAGATAAATGTCTATTCTTTAAAAGCATTAAGCAAAACGAACTTCAGTCATACCTATTTCAAACATTGCTTCTTTTAGTCTGTCCAGCAATGACTTTAATGCAAATGCGAATCCAAAATGTATTGCTTTACCATTTGAAGAAAAATATCTGATTTGGAAATATCAGAGTGATGAGAATCTTGGACATTGAATTTTGTAACTGCACATGCATGTTGATTGCATTCTACAATCAACGATCCAAAGACTATTAAGAGCCTGCCACATATCTAGAAAAACCAAAAAGAACTTTCAATCTTAAAAGAAGCGAGTTTCTAAGCAATTGAATTGCTGAGTCTTATTTCTACATTTTTTTTCTCTTTGATATAAGAAAGTTCAGCGTATCACTTCAGCTGTCTGATTATAAAGCAGACAGTAGCACATATTGAAGCACAAGTTTAGTGAGAGTGCACAGGATCAGAGCTGTGTAGAATGGTCTGCGATAAATGCCACTTCAGTCATTACTTTGTAATTCTTCCAAATACGTGCCTCTTGCCTGACACAAAAAGTGGTGGGCTTATTTTTGAAATATAAATGACCTACTTTAATGTTATTCATCATGTCTGTGCTAAAAATCTTTTTCTTCTCATACTGGTCTTCTTAAGGGTTTAAAGTGCCGGTTTATACTTCTACCTTTAATATAGAATGACTTCATAGTTTTAAAGTAATTATAAACTTACTTTTTTGCTTCTTTGTGGAATACACATCTTCAGCTTCTGGTGTATACAAAAATATGACAGTAAATAATTTGTACATTCACAGCTATTATACAAATATGTAGGGAACTAAAAATGTCTAAACGGTTGCACAGTATGAAAGAAACAGGAGCTAATTCCCTCTTTATAATATATTCTAGGTTCTTATTCAGATTCTATTCAATCTCTCACCCTAAAATTTATAGCTAAGAGCCAGTAGCAGAAGAGGAGCCAGTGGAAGAAAACAATGTGGTGTTCAATATGTACTTGTTCAAACAGGAACACTGGTCCTGATGTGTTGGATGTTGGTGGGTGAGTGCTAGCAGATGCACATATTCTTTTTTTTAGAAGAGGTCTTTAGTGTTTAAAGTTATAACATGTAAGAGTGAGCGGGCTAAATAATGAATATTTCAAAGTAATTCTAAATTAAAAAAAAATTTTAAGGTTTATTTATTTTTGAGAAAGAGAGACAGAGAGACAGAGTGCAGAGAGAGGGAGACGCAGAATCCGAAGCAAACTCCAGACTCTGAGCTGTCAGCACAGAGCCCGACACAGGACTCAGGCTCACAAACCATGAGATCATGACCTGAGCCAAAGTCATATGCCTAATTGACTGAGCCAGCCAGCCTCCCCAAAGTAATTCTAAATGTTTGAGGGGCTTAAGTTTTTAGTAATCATCTTTGCCATGAAAGAATATCAGCAGACTGGTGTCCTGTATTAGTCCCTTTTCTCATCTGGCTCATGGATTTCTCTACTGTAGTGATACGTGCCATGTATTTATCTAGTGATGGAAATTGAAGCTATCTAGTTGAACCCCTTTATCTAGTGTTCACATTAACTGGTGTTCACATTTGGGCTTTGGGGGGTTTCTTGTAAAACCCTGAAAGGTAACAAAGATGTGAATGCATGTGTCTTTCATCAAAAGTTAGGTTTTAGACTTCAACAAATTCTAAGTATGTTCAAGGACCTTTCTTCTCAAAGTGTGATCCATATTCCAAGAGTTTCACTGTTATTTGGAGATTAATATATAAAGGTAGTTCTTAGGCCCCAACCCACATTTATCCCATTTTAAAAAGATTGTCAGATGATTTATGTATAAAATGATTTGAGAAGCAATTGTCTAGAAGTCAAAAACATGTTAAGAGTTATTGTTCTTAATAATTCAAGTTTTCAAAAAAATCTAAAAATTAAGTATTCAAAAACATATCTTAGGACAAGTGTAAATCATCCTAAGACTCAGGTGTCCATTTCTTTGTGTCTTTCCTCAAAACACTATTTTCTACACTGTTAATTAATTCTGGTCACTGCTATAGTACATATATTTTCATGGCAAGAACAACTCTTACACAAGCTCTATTGTTTATAGGCAAGTTTGGAAGTATAATAGAAAATATCTATTATATAACATGCCACTCTAGGGACTCTGGAAACCCTTCAGTAAAAAAAATAAAATAAAATCAGTTGAAACTCTTACAATACAAATAAAGAAATTTAGTCCTGAAAAGACTTGCTCAAGATTATGTATCTAGTTGTGATATATTTTTCTGAAGTTTGAGCCTTTTCTTTCTTCCTTTTTCCATCTTTCCTTCCTTCCTCCTTCCTTCCTTCCTTCCTTGTTCCTTCCATTTCTTCCTCCCTCCCTTCCTTCCTTCTTTCGTTCTTTCCTTCCTTCCTCCCTTCCTTTCTCTAGCCATTGCTGTTAGTATAGGCAAATTGTTTTACATTTTTTTAATAAAAATATGTCAACTTCACCTTTAAACATTTATGTAGTTCTCTTTCTATCAAATAACACCCCCATTCAATTCAAAAATAGTGAAATGATGGTTTTGAAATATTGTTCTTGTAAGTAGATTGGACAATAAATGCATCTAATATTTACTTTTAAATAAACCAGTGTCTAACTAGTGCCTTCAACATGTGAAGATATGCATTTTTTTCCAAATAATGTAAAAAAGCTGTTTGTCTAAAAAATGGGTCTGCCACCTAAATATTACTTAGGAAAAGCTAAAGACTAAATCAAGAATAGTTAAATAAAACAGACAAAACATCATAGCCTTAAGAGAAAACTCCTAAATACACTGAAGACAACAAGTTCACCTTCAGCTTTCTTTGAAGCCGGTACATCTTCCAGATCTTCTCCTAGAGAGTAAAGAAAGGACACATCAATCCATGGTCTATTTTCCAGCTTTCCCAAAGAAGAAATTTTGTATTTAAGGTTTTTGAATCATAAGATCTATTACTCTGCGAACTCAGCATTTAGTGTCTCTATGAACAAGAACTTCCTGACAAACAAGGTAACTTCTCTGACTTGGGGAGACGGTGCGGAGCAACGGATACAGTATCAGGCTGTGGTTAGGGCTGACAAAAGCTGGCTATGATAAGAAGGACCTGCAGTGACGCTCCCAAATGTGGCTCTCCTCTCTGACTCCTAACACTCCTTCCCCAAACTACCAACACTTCTGGAATTTAGGACATTAGAGATAAATACATAAGCTAGATCCTGAAAAATATCCGCCAGCATATTTTATTAGTGGACTGATTAGATTTTGGTCTTTTGATGGATAATTGTAGAGGCAATTAAAAGACACTAGAAGTTGAACCAAAGCTCAAATACACAATGACTCTTAGCTTACATTATGTAAATTACTTGCTGTTTTGTGTACAGGCACATGTGGAATAATGTGGAAGATTTTTAAGTCAGAGATAATTCTAAGAAAATATAATTAAATGATCTTTAAATGTTCACATCAGTTTTTTAGCATTCTTAATGATCTGAAAGAGGGTCGGTTTTCTATTATTTATTCAGATTTTGCATACCAGCTGCTCACTAATAAATAGAAAAGGGGTAAAATAGGTCAGTATGCAAATTTTCTCTAATAAGAAAGAAATGTGACCTTTAGAAAGAGATGTTATTATGTAAAAGAACAAAATGGGAAAAAAGAAAATTACGACCACTTTTTTGCAGTAAATATTTTTAAACTACTTAAAAATTTTATTTTTTAATTAGCAACTTTGGTGAAAAAAGTCTCATCAGGACTCGGAGGCCAAGACTGAGACCCCAAAACAGCTGTTTGTTTGTTTTTTTCCTTGTCAGGCTGGAGCAGAGTTTGAACCAGAAAAGAACCTCTCCAGCTCTGGCCATAATTTACTCTCTACATCTGGGTCTCAGGTAAATTGGTTGCAAACTGGCTTCACTTCATCCAAGGACCTAGTTCAGGACATTCGTGGCTTCCTTGTGTTGAGCGTCCCTTGCTCCTGATGTTGGCAGTGTCACTTAACTGTGGACTGGAGCATCCATTTGGGCTGGAGCAGTGAGTTACTAAAATTTCACCCTGATTAGTTTAGAAATATTTTTTTTTTCAACGTTTATTTTTTATTTTTGGGACAGAGAGAGACAGAGCATGAACGGGGGAGGGGCAGAGAGAGAGGGAGACACAGAATCGGAAACAGGCTCCAGGCTCTGAGCCATCAGCCCAGAGCCCGACGCGGGGCTCGAACTCACGGACCGCGAGATCGTGACCTGGCTGAAGTCGGACGCTTAACCGACTGCGCCACCCAGGCGCCCCTAGTTTAGAAATATTTAAATACAAGCTTAACTCAATTAAATGCTGGATTAAATGACCATGGTCTGAAATTGCTCTGTTAGCTGCCATGAATAAAGAAAAGGTATAAATGGGTACATGATATTTTGAAGTAACTTAACTATATTTTTAAAATGATGTCAGAGTTCTTAAAAGAACCAAATGATAGTTACACTTTCATTGTGTAGCAAGAATCTGCTAATTTTTATGGAGGATGTTTATAAAAGTAAACTAATGCAAGGTTCTTGTACACAAGAAATACAGATTTTATTTTTGAGGATTATAGCACACATAAGCCTAAGATGTTTATGCTCTGGATTCATTTGTTATCCCTGGAGAAATAAATATGGGTAGAATAAAAACCCGAGCTGCTTCTCTTTCCAAATTCTGTATTCTGACCCAGCATAAACTAGCTACGTGATAAAAGCTGGCAAGAAGTGAGTCATATGTCAATTACTCAAGCTAACCGGGAGAACAGAGGCACCAGAAGGTAAACCGCAAGCCTAGGGCAGTTGCTATAGAGATGCAGTCTCTTTGTAAGCAACTTAACAGCAACAGAAATTTACTGAACTAGGAATAATGAATGTACCGCAATTGTCACTGCTCAGCATACAAAAAAGAAATAACACACTTACAATCCATTTAATTTTATAACTTGCGCATTGATTAGGTGAGTGGTGGTTTGGATAAAACAAATACTTGACTCTAAAAAGGTATAATAATTACCATAAAAGATGTATCAACATGTGCCGATGGACTTTTAAGAAAACATTTTATGAAGGAAGTTTAATTTATTTTTTATTTTTATTTTTTTCCTTGGAAGGCTTATCTGAAGAAATACACTTAAGATCAGATGTAGAAGAAATCAAGAAATAGCGATATATAATAGCCACACCCAATTTTGGAATCAAATAGGACAGATGTTTCAATTTCTTGCTAAGTTTGCACAAGAATAAGGAATGTGATGTTTTACTTTTGTCAGTTTTTAGGGTCACGTCAGTGCAGATATCCCACTCCAGTCTGAAGAATAAACAATTCAAGATGCTAAAAGTGAATAATTTGATATTTGTTGCCTTAGAGTTCTCTAAGCTGGACAGTGCAATCTCCAAGCCAAACAGGGATGACAAACATTCCTAAGCTTAAGGACAATGACTGGAAAGCAGAATCAGATTATTTAGAGACCTTGGGATTCTGTGATAATCTGAGTGTACCTGCATCTTATTTGTGAAAAGGAAGGGAAGGAAGAATTATCCACAACTCATCACTGGAACATCACAGCTATTAGAGCATTGATTTTTAAAAAGTGATTTGTATACTTTGTATAATTTTAGAACACAATGAATTTTATTTTCTGCATATGTCCCTTAGTAAACAGTATCTTTTCATTAAAAAAAAAGGAAGTCTAATTTAAAATCGGTCCTGTGAGGGTGCCTGCGTGGCTCAGTAGGTTGAGCGTCCAACTTCAGCCCAAGTCATGATCTCACAGCTCATGAGTTCGAGTCCTGCACTGTCAGCACTGAGCCTGGAGCCTGTTTCAGATTCTGTCTGCCCCTCCCCACCTGGTGCTCTGTCCCTGTCTCTCTCTGTCTCTCAAAAATAAATAAAATAGAATGGGTCCTTAATATAGAGGGGAATATGACCGAGGGAGATGGCAAGTTTCAAGTGAAGGCAATCATATGAAGAAAGACTAGATATACCAAAGAACAGAAGAGATTCAAGGAGCAGATGGAATGTTGAGGAGGGCAGGAGAAGTGCATCTGCAAAGGTTAGAAAATGTTATCATGTGGAAAGACAGATGTCAGGCTGAGCATTCTCTACTCAACGTCCTAGCCAGTGAAGGTCATTCAAGAAGGAAATCATGTTCTAATGTACTTTGTAAAAATAACAAGACTAGAATATGAGAGAATGGATTCAGAGAAAGAAATTGGAAATTTATTTTAATAGTCAACATAAAAACAATGATTTCTGCAATTGGAAATCACTGACAGAGTTGAGTATAAATAAGGCTTCATAGGTACAATTAAATAGGATTGAGTACATGTGAATGCAAGAGATTATATAATAAGGGATACCTTAATGCACTTTCTGAGTTTGGAAGAAAATAGTGGTGCCACTCCCAGCAACAAGGAAATCCTAGGAGGTACTCATTAGCTGGGGGTATCATAGGAAATTTAGTTTTCTAGCAGTTAAATTGTGGTGTTGGTTGGTCACGATACTAAAAGTGTCTAAAAGGAAGAAAGAGAAGGTAAGTTGTCTGGAAAAGTTTACAAGTGACATGCATTGAGTTAATAGGCAAAACTGAGTGATTTAAGAGCTCACTTTTACTGATAGCAATGATAGCTAATACTTAACACCATCTGCTGGGCCTTATTATTTCATATGTGTTATCACACTCAATTGTGACAACCCCTCTGTGGGGTAGGTGTTCTTATTTTAAATCTCTTATATAGATGGAGCAGAGAAGGGTTAAGTGTTGTCCGAGGTCACAGAATGAATTAAGTGACAGGACTGAACCATGGACCCCAGTCTACCTGGATCAGAACCACTTGAAGGAGGATTTATATTTATTTCACAAATAGTATAAATGTTATTCCTGTTATGTTCCAGCCACTGTTCTAAACACTTTATAAATGAGAACATATTTCACCTCCTTGGAAGTGGGTACTATCCCCATTCCCGTTTTGTAGGTAGGAGAATTGAAGGCTAGAGACTCAAGATCCCAGGGCTAGTTAGTGGGGAAACCTGGGATTCAGACTCAGGCATTTTGGCTTTAGAGATTGTGTTATTAGTCACTGTGCCATTCCACCTCTAGAGGCTGGCCTCCCAAACTCAGTTCTCTCCGAATTCAGAACCTATGCATTATATCGCCGGCTGCATAAACCATGAACTTGTGCAGAGCAGAAATGAAAGAGTGTCCCTCTTCTAACAATCCATTTTCTTTCTGGTGGGATGAATAGAAGAGTTACTTATCTGTATTTGAAAATGATAATAACAATGAAGATGAAAATATATCTGTTCTGTTTGCCTAAACACTGTATTTTAGGTAACCTTATTCTAATCAATTAAGAATGAAAATATTATCCAGACTTTCAAACTGTAGATTTCATCTTTTATTTATATAGAAACTTAGATTCCAAAGGAATCACAAGTATTAATGACTCTGTCCTCTTATCTAAATCAGACTTCTCCATGATAACAGTCATGAACACATGAGAGGTCTTGTCTGTGTGGCTACCATTTCAACCTTTTAAACATGCTGATGTCAAAGTCTGGCTTTTGTATAACTCTTTTATACTTATGAAATTACAGCTGTAGACACAGAGGTTCTTAGATAGCTATCTAAGAAAACAATAAAATGATCATGATAGGTCTAAATTTTGTATTTTCAAGTCTTCCTTGTCTCAATTCCATAATCTGCTTCATATCACATAAGTGTCTGTTCCAACACTTAAATTTACATGTATGCATGTATATATATATATATATATATATATAATTTTATAAATTTTATAAAATATATAAATATGTACACATATATGTATATACATATTTATATAT